CACTGTATTTTTTTGTACTTCAATGTATCATGTTCAAATAAATAAATAACTAAATAAATAAATAAATAAATAGCAGTGAAAGCAGTGATGATAATAAGTGACTGTATTGGTGATAAAAGCTGTGACTGTAGTGATGATAATAGCAGTGACTAGTGGTTATAGCAGTGACTCTAGTGATGATAATAGCAGTGACTCGTGATGATAATACCAGTGACTAATGATAATACCAGTGACTAGTGATGATAATACCAGTGACTAGTGATAATACCAGTGACTAGTGATGATAATACCAGTGACTAGTGATAACAGCAGTGACTCTAGTGACAATAACAGCAGTGACTAGACATGATACAAGTGAATGTAGCTATAATAAGGGTGATAGCAGTTATGGTTATAGTAAAGGCAGTAGCTATATTTATTGCAACTAAAGTGGATGTAAAAAGACAGTGACATGATTATAGTATTAGTGTCTTATTTGTGCTAATAGTCAGTACTATTTGCACCAATACTGTAGAAACTTACTGGGAGACCAAATAACTTCCACAGGGTAATAGTAAATAAGCAGTATGAGCCCTTAACAAACAAACAAAAACACACACACACCTATCTATCTAGTTGGTAGAGGTATTATTATTATTATTATAATCAAAGGGAAGCACTAAACCCGTAGGATTATACAGCGCCTGGGGGGGAGGATGTGGAAGGCATTCAGGCTTAATTCGGGGAACTGGAGCACAGATCCAATTCCCTAAATCAAGAGCCCCTCACCAACATCAAGGACCCTTCCTGAAGGGTTGGCAGAGGTAGCAACTGTACATAATACATTTACCCTTCAAGGAAGGTTTAGGTAGGTTTATAGTTAGTAATTAATGTTAGAATTAAAGAAGTAACCTTAGATATTAATAATGTAGTCCTAGGACCTTAACATAGGTAGGCTTAGGCCTTTAATATAGGGGAATATTAGGTCATATTACCTAGGGAGAACTGGCAACCCCATGCTCGAACTAAGGTGGGAGTCAGAGAGACGCCAGCTCTTCTCTGGGAGAACAGACACCATAGAGACAAAATGTGCCATGTCAAGCAGCACAGAGAACAGGCATTCATACACTTTGGCAGGAGACCACAAAATCATAGAGGCTTCCCAAAGTATTGTGGATACTTGTCTCTACCCAGGCCCACCCGTAGTAAGACAAGACCTTTCATTTCTCTCAGCATTGGTTGGCCAATGATATTCTGGGGAAATGTGGGTTATAGTCGATCTGTGGGGTCTCGAGCAGACGGACACTTGAAGACCAGATAAGTCCATCACTGCATGTGGTGTCCTGAGAATGAGGGACCAGAGGACTCAACACCACCAAGCAAGTTAGTCCTTCATTTGTGCATGTAGTTAGGAATATCCTGAAAGAACAGCTCCATATGGAAATGTGTCATAAAAGCCTCTTGTTAGTCTGGGATGACTAATCTCAGTTTCTGTGTCAACAGTACTTGCCAGGGTGAGCAGCTCACAAGGAGGCAGTCCAGACAAATTTCCATAAATACTGTGTCTATTATTTCAGTAATCACAAGCAAATATTAATCAATATGTCACCCTGCCTCGGTGGGAGACGGCCGACTTGTTGAGAAAAAAAAAAAAAAAAAAAAAAAAAAAAAAGAAAATGTAACTTTCAAATAAATGACTCATTCACAGTGTAGCATTTTTAAAATAAAGAAAATGTAAGAAATCATTAAATATTATATATCAAATATCAACGTGCACGCAGAATTTACCTCCAATGGCGTCACCGCTCTACTGCCCTTATTTTACCTTCACATCTTGCTGATGGATCCTCCTTTAACCCAGACTCTCTAGTTGACTTTTTGGCAGCAACTGATTTGCTGCACAAACTCTGATGATGATGCCTCTAGCACTCCTCACAGCCCCTTCTACCTTTTACTTCAATCTCTTGCTACCCACCCCTGCACTATCCACTTCCCTGCTACACTCCATGACCTAACAATAATGCACCTCCCTCTTGCTACCCAATACCCCTGCACCCTTCCTTGCCCTGCTGAGCTGTATGACCCTTGTAGGTTTAGTGCTTCTATTAGATAATAATATCAAGATAAAATTGGAGCATGCAGCACAAGCATAGAAAATGTTTTCTCAACCACAGGGCTAGCCTTAAGCTGACTGGACCGACTGCTCCCAATTGGGCTCTGCGCCTATTAGGGCCTCACGCTAGAATGTAATCTACTTTCGGTTTGTCAAGTAATAAAAAGGAGGCTTTGGATATAATATGTAATGTGATATACAAATATGTGAAGTGATATACAATCTGATGTGATATACAAATTTTGTTTGTTACTTGTAGACTTACATGTACTCAATTTTATATTAAAATGTAGCTTACATTTGTTTGGTCTATTAACTCGCATGCAATTTTTAAGTGCATAGTTTGATTGCTTGTCATACATGGGCGCCCACCAAAATTGTTCCCATTGGGCCCCACACCTCCCAAGGCTGGCTCTGCTCAAACACATAAGAAAACTTGAAGATTACAAACTGATTATTAGGGCAGGCTTGAAGAGCTGCAACCTCAACACTGGAGGCTTGAAGAAACAGAGGGAACATGCTCATAACATGCAAGATACTTGAAGGTACAGTACTTTAACTGTAGACATACTTTTTGAAAGGGGTGGCACTGCGAGACAAAGGTGTAAGTTATAAAATTAAAGCAAGAAATCTGTGAAGGAACATCTACACTGTGAGGGAAGTTAGAGGAATGAAACAGGGAAGGAGGAAGTAGATAACAATATGAATAGTTAAAGTGGGTCATACAGTGCTGAGGTTGCAGAACCAACTCTACACATAAATCCATACATTAATATAGCAAAGTTCAATGCGATTAAGAGTCATCACAATCATCATTATTATTATAATCAAAACCAAGCACTAAACACACTAGGGTCACCACACTCATCAGTAAATGATTAAACCTAAGGGCTAAGAGTTGGAGCATAATCCTTCTGCAAATACAAGTAGGTAAGTATCAAAGAGGTATACCATCTTTTAGGAGTGAAGAAGAACAGAATGTAAGTGTGGGGAGGTACGTGAGGCATTACGTAGAATGAAAGGGGGTAAAGCAGCTGGAACTGATGGGATCATGACAGAAATGTTAAAAGCAGGGGGGCATATAGTGTTGGAGTGGTTGGTACTTTTGTTTAATAAATGTATGAAAGAGAGGAAGGTACCTAGGGATTGGCGGAGAGCATGTATAGTCCCTTTATATAAAGGGAAAGGGGACAAAAGAGATTGTAAAAATTATAGAGGAATAAGTTTACTGAGTATACCAGGAAAAGTATACAGTAGGGTTATAATTGAAAGAATTAGAGGCAAGACAGAATGTAGGATTGCAGATGAGCAGGGAGGCTTCAGAGTGGGTAGGGGATGTGTAGATCAAGTGTTTACATTGAAGCATATATGTGAACAGTATTTAGATAAAGGTAGGGAAGTTTTTATTGCATTTATGGATTTAGAAAAGGCATATGATAGAGTGGATAGAGGAGCAATGTGGCAGATGTTGCAAGTATATGGAATAGGTGGTAAGTTACTAAATGCTGTAAAGAGCTTTTATGAGGATAGTGAGGCTCAGGTTAGGGTATGTAGAAGAGAGGGAGAATGCTTCCCGGTAAAAGTAGGTCTTAGACAGGGATGTGTAATGTCACCATGGTTGTTTAATATATTTATAGATGGGGTTGTAAAAGAAGTAAATGCTAGGGTGTTCAGGAGAGGGGTGGGATTAAATTATGGGGAATCAAATTCAAAATGGGAATTGACACAGTTACTTTTTGCTGATGATACTGTGCTTATGGGAGATTCTAAAGAAAAATTGCAAAGGTTAGTGGATGAGTTTGAGAATGTGTGTAAAGGTAGAAAGTTGAAAGTGAACATAGAAAAGAGTAAGGTGATGAGGGTATCAAATGATTTAGATAAAGAAAAATTGGATATCAAATTGGGGAGGAGGAGTATGGAAGAAGTGAATGGTTTCAGATACTTGGGAGTTGACGTGTCGGCGGATGGGTTTATGAAGGATGAGGTTAATCACAGAATTGATGAGGGAAAAAAGGCGAGTGGTGTGTTGAGGTATGTGTGGAGTCAAAAAATGTTATCTATGGAGGCAAAGAAGGGAATGTATGAAAGTATAGTAGTACCAACACTCTTATATGGATGTGAAGCTTGGGTGGTAAATGCAGCAGCGAGGAGACGGTTGGAGGCAGTGGAGATGTCTTGTCTAAGGGCAATGTGTGGTGTAAATATTATGCAGAAAATTCGGAGTGTGGAAATTAGGAGAAGGTGTGGAGTTAATAAAAGCATTAATCAGAGGGCAGAAGAGGGGTTGTTGAGGTGGTTTGGTCATTTAGAGAGAATGAATCAAAGTAGAATGTCATGGAAAGCATATAAATCTATAGGGAAAGGAAGGAGGGGTAGGGGTCGTCCTCGAAAGGGTTGGAAAGAGGGGGTAAAGGAGGTTTTGTGGGCAAGGGGCTTGGACTTCCAGCAAGCGTGCATGAGCGTGTTAGATAGGAGTGAATGGAGACGAATGATACTTGGGACCTGACGATCTGTTGGAGTGTGAGCAGGGTAATATTTAGTGAAGGGATTCAGGGAAACCGGTTATTTTCATATAGTCGGACTTGAGTCCTGGAAATGGGAAGTACAATGCTTGCACTTTAAAGGAGGGGTTTTGGGATATTGGCAGTTTGGAGGGATATGTTGTGTATCTTTATACGTATATGCTTCTAAACTGTTGTATTCTGAGCACCTCTGCAAAAACAGTGATAATGTGTGAGTGTGGTGAAAGTGTTGAATGATGATGAAAGTATTTTCTTTTTGGGGATTTTCTTTCTTTTTTGGGTCACCCTGCCTCGGTGGGAGACGGACGACTTGTTGGAGAAAAAAAAAAAAAAAAAAAAAAAAGTATCACCTCCTCAAACAATACTTGAAGGAATAAACAAACAAATGAAATTGTTCTTTATTTGTGGAAGAAGCATGAAAGAGGTCATTTACACGAGTTAAGAAGCACCTTGTAAGTGTAATACAGGAACTAACTGCTTCCTTGTCAGTTCAGCCAGGCCTCTTACCTGCTCTACCTCATCTGGCAAATATAAATATGTCCTTAGCACTTGTAATTATTTATTAATGAAAATGTGTAATTGTATGACCACAAATTGGTCTACAAACAACTTACCAACTAAAGATTTTGCTAACTTTGCAAATCTGTTGATGCTATGTACTGTGCTGCTCAAATGTCTTTTTATCCAGTAGGTGGAAGTTACAGTATGGAAGAATGATTTACAAGTATTTAAAACTATTAAAAGTTTTGTATTACTATGACTTAAACATATGGACATTATGTACAAAACATTCAAAGATGCCTGGAATATTGACTGACACATGGTCAAGTGTGTTTTCACGCAGATACTCAAGACTGCCAATACAAAGGTTTAACTAGAATACTCACTAAATACAAAATTTACACTACCAAATTGTCACTGGTTTAACTTGCCTTAGATTTATGCATACTCTAATTGCAGATTTACATTAAATACAAATAATTCATATATCTGCAGGTGTTAATGAATTGTATCCAATGTTCTGGAGCATTAATTGTTTGCATATTGATTGCCAGTGCATAATAGAAGCAAGACCCAACAGTCATTATTGCATATTTTACAGAGAAGAAATATATTTTGAAACATTAATGAAAAAACAACATATTTCATATATATTAAAATCTGCCTATAGTATTCAATAAAGTATAATCATATGGTAGGTTATATAACCTATGCAACACACATGTAAAGCAAAACAATGAGACTTTATGTGATTGATAAACACATGAATTACATGAAAATGAGTAACATGATATTTAAAGTGTAAAATGACACAACACTGCACTGAAAAAAGATAAATTTTACACTTCTTCACATGCTCTTAATTTTTGAGGAAACTCTTTGCCACTATGGTGCAAAATAAGATGGTACATAAAATTTACTTAGATACTTTGATTACCAGTCTACTCCCTAATAAGTCTTCAAAAGAAAACAAATTCTAGTGTCATTTTTTTTTTTGCATAATGTATCACATATGCTGATATTACTATATGTAATCTGTGTCATTACTTGCCAGTTTCTTTGTTTTTTTATAAACTATTCTTCCCTCTTTCTTTGCCTTCTAAGCAAAAGCTGCTTTGATAAAGTTTTTCCAATCAGATTCAAGAAGATCACTGATGAAAACTGATTGAAATACTCCCTAATCAACTCATTATGTATGTATGTACAGTGGAACCTCGGCTTACGAATGCCCCACCATGTGAGTTTTTCAGGATACGAACAATTGCTCGGTTGATTTTTTGCTTCTGGATACAAACGAAATTTCAGGATGCGAACTTTTCCCTCCTGGGAGGTTCCTTGGTGAGGGGCTCTTGATCTAGGGAAATGGATCTGTGCTCCAGTTTCCTAAATTAATAATAATAATAATTATAATACGTACGTGCTACTACTACTAATAATACGCATATAATAATAATATGTATAATAATAATAATACGTAATACTATAATAATAATTATAATAAAACTATAATAAGTGAGTTTCAGAACGCCAACACGAGTTGGCAGACTGAGTACCAAAACAATGCTCACTGTCAGTGCACGTGTGCTTACGGAGCTTATCTTGCGGTGGAAGGAATTCTCGTGTTTTCCTTACGTTTCATGCAGTTATTTTGCCAAATTTCTTTTTTCTAACCATGGGTCCTAAGAAAGCAAGTGCAAAAGACAGTGCTGAGAAGAAAAAGAGGATGATTTCCATGGTCTTAAAGCAGGAAATCATGGATAAACAAAAAAGAGGTGCGAGGGTTAAGTACTTGGCCAGAGAGTACCAGCACAGCAGTTCTATGATATGTACAATACTAAAGCAGGAGAAGTCTACAGTGCAGTGAGAAAAAAATACTGTAGCAGTTAAGTTCAGTGATAAAGTGTAACATTAACAAGCGATTAAGTGACAGAAAAAGGACAAAACAAAACGAATTCCTGACAGCATATGCCCCTCTGCCTATCTTTTCCACCATCAACCTTCGCCAGCATCTCTTCTCCAAGGTAAATGCTGTAGTACTACATACACCAGTTTATTTCTTTACATTATGTTTTCCTTATGAAACTATGTAGTGATCTAATGCAGTTAGCCTCACAAACACTGTTTTCTTTTATAACACCTCAGAGGGGCAAGCATGGGAATATGTTTTTAGAGTGGAAATGGGAATGCCCGCCACTACTTGTCACATAATGACATACGTATTTTATTCATTCTAGAGTATATATCAGGTTTTTATGTTATTTGTATTGCTTATTATGTCATATTAGATGATTGTGATAGATAAATAAGGCATAGAGTTGATATTAGTGTTATATTGAAGTGTATTTTGTCATGCCTCCTGACAGCAGGAATTCTGCTGGAACGGACTAATGACATTTCTATTAATTAAAATAAGGAAACTGATTCAGCATACAAACAAATCGGGATACGAGCAAGGTCATGGAACAGATTAAATTTGTAAGCCAAGGTTCCACTGTATATAAGTATACATGTGTATGTGTTTGTATATGTATGTATGTGTATGTGTGTGTGTGTGTGTGTGTTGTGTGTGTGTGTGTGTGTTGTGTGTGTGTGTGTGTGTGTTGTGTGTGTGTGTATATATATATATATATATATATATATATATATATAAAATATATAAATATATATATATATATAATATATATATATATATATATTATTTTTAGCAACAACACTGCGACTAGACAAGGAGTCGAACCCTTGCTTCTTTGGCCTGCCTCATGGTGGGTGAAAACTCATGACGCCTTAATCCACGGGACAACACAATCCTTAAGAGTAGTGCATCCAGCGGAACTGTATGCTGTACTCGCTACCCAAGGACATATGTTGGTGTAGATGACTCTAGGCTAATTTCATTCTACTCCCTGTTTGGTGTACTAGTACAACGAGCAGTATTTTATATTATTGTGCCCATAAACAAGTGGTATTGACCAATAACAACACCGTGACTAGCCAAGGAGTTAAACCCATGCTGTATTGGCCTGCCTCATGGTGGGCGAAAACTCATGGGTGCAATAATATAAAATACTTCTCGTTGTACTAGTACACCAAACAGAGAGTAGAATGAAATTAGCCTAGAGTCATCCACACCAACGCATGTCCTTGGGTAGCAAGTACAACATCCAGTTCTGCTGGATGCACTACTCTTAAGGATTATGTGGGCCCGTGGATTAAGGCGTCGTGAGTTTTCGCCCACCATGAGGCAGGCCAAAGCAGTATGGGTTTGACTCCTTGGCTAGTCGCAGTGTTGTTATTTATCAATACCACTTGTTCGTGGTTAGAATAATATATATACACAGTGGAACCTTTACTTATGAGTCTAATCCGTTCCGTGACCTTGCTCACATCTTAATTTGCTTGTTTGCAGAGTCAATTTTCCTCTGAAATGGAATTAATCTATTCCTGTGAAATTCCAGGCACGAGAAAATACATCAATAATTTCCCTAATATCAACTCTATGGCTTATTTATCTATCACAATTCATCTAATATGACATACTAAACAACATAAATAACATAGAAACCTGATATATACTCTAGAATGAATAAAATGTCATTCATTTTGTGGTATCAGTGGCAGACAAGAGTTTGTCTGGAGACAGGACAAAATACTCCTCGAATAATTTCGCTAATATCAACTCTACGGCTTATTTATCTATCACAATTCATCTAATTTATTTTATTATCTTATTATCACACTGGCCGATTCCCACCAAGGCAGGGTGGCCCGAAAAAGAAAAACTTTCATCATCATTCACTCCATCACTGTCTTGCCAGAAGGGTGCTTTACACTACAGTTTTTAAACGGCAACATTAACACCCCTCCTTCAGAGTGCAGGCACTTTACTTCCCATCTCCAGGACTCAAGTCCGGCCTGCCGGTTTCCCTGAATCCCTTCATAAATGTTACTTTGCTCACACTCCAACAGCACGTCAAGTATTAAAAACCATTTGGTCTCATTCACTCTATCAAACCGATCATGCATGCCTGTGGAAGGTCCAAGCCCCTCGACACAAAAACCTCCTTTACCCCCCTCTCCCTCCAACCTTTCCTGGCCGACCCTACCCGCCTTCATTCCACTACAGCTGATACACTCTTGAAGTCATTATGTTCGCTCCATTCTCTCTACATGTCTCCGAACCACCTCAACAACCTTCCTCAGCCCTCTGGACAAAGTTTTGGTAATCCCGCACCTTCCTCCTAACTTCCCACAACTACGAATCTCTGCATTATAATTCACACCACACAGTGTGCCCTCAGACATGACATCTCCCACTGGCCGGAGCCTTCTCCTCGCTGCAAACATTCATCACCACGCTTCACCACCCCATATAAGAGTGTTGGGAAAACTTTTCTCTCATACTTTCCCCTCTTTGCTCCAAGGACAAAGTTCTTTGTTCAACAGACTCCTAAGTGGACCACTCACTCTTTTTCCCTCATCAATTCTATGATTCACTCATCTTTCTTAGACCAACCGCTGACACGTCTCCACTCCCAAATATCTGAATATGTTCACTCCTCCATTACTCTCTCCCTCCAAATCTGATATCCAATCATTTCATCACTATTCTTTTTTGTTATCTCATAACCTTACTCTTTCCTGTTTCACTTTAATTTTTTCTTTTTGCACTCCCACCAAAATTCATCCACAATCTCTGCAATTTCTTCACAATCTCCCAAGAGCACAGTGTCATCAGCAAAGAGCAGCTGTGACAAACTCCCACTTTGGTGTGTGTTGATTCTTTATCTTTTAACTCCACGCCCTCTTGCCAGACCCTTGCATATACTTCTCTTACAACCCCATCTATAAACAATATAAATAACGTAGAAACCTGATATATACTCTAGAATGAATACAATATGTCATTATATGACAGGTGGAGGTGGGCCACACCACTCACCGCTTTGTTTTGTCCGAACGGTAATCACTGCATCTTGTGCATGGCATTTTGAAGCGTCTATTTTTATATTACATTGTGGTTTATATAGTAAAAATTATGTATCGCTTTACATGCAATTAATTATTATACATTTATATTATTAACTATTATTATTATTATTACAATATAAATAATTTGTAATTTTTATTCACACAAAAAAACAGAAGATTTACTGTTATGCAGACTACTGCATAATTGTAATTATTGTATAAAATAATGGTCAACCCGAGAATTCATGACTGCATTTGGAATGGACAGTGACATCATTTGTTTAACTCTTGAACATCGCCAAATAATCGAACATTTCTGCTACTTTGAGCTCAATTTCAAAGGTCTTTTCATAGGAAAGCAATCAAAAATCATATCTATTTCTGTATTATTCTTCCATTCTATCAGAATGAGATAAAAAAAAATATATAGAGAATTCAACCATAAAACCATATGAAAATACTGCTATAGGGGGCAGCTAATAATGCTGGAGGAGTGTGAAACTCGATTTATTTATGGTCCGTTTTCTTTGGTTTTTGTGTACTGTTTAGAAAGCGCCTTTTTCATCATGATGTTGCCCTAATTGTTATCATATTGGACAGTCTAGAGTACTAACAAATGGAAATCTTATTGCCTAGATCAAGTAGCAAGACCCCTCACTCAGTGTAAGGAACTGTTCCCGGGGAGGCTCCATATCGTGATGGTTAAGTTGTTGCACGAAATGGGAGCATAGTTTTCGTTGGGGCGTGTGTACGATAGGTGTGGAATTTTAAGCATATCTTGGTTGGAGAATTGGGTGGGGAATAGTTGTGGGTGGGTGGGGGGCTAGGGGGTGTTGTGGTGTGTGTGTGTGTTGTTGTGTGTATAGTGTGTGTGTAGTGATGTGTGTGTTGATGTGTGGAGTGTGTGGGTGTTGGTTGTGTGGGAGTGTGGGTGGTGTGTAGGTAAAGTCGTGGTGGTGTGTGGTGTGGTGTGTGTGGTGTGGGTTGTGTGTGTGTGTGTGTGATGGTGTGTGTGTGGGTGTGTGTGGTGGGTTGTGTGTGTTGATGTGTGTGCTGAGTGTGTGGTGTGTGTGTTGTGTGGTGTGGTGGGTTGTGGTGTGTGTGTGTGGTGTAGAGAGTTGTTGTGTTTGGTGTGGGTGTGTCGTGGTGTGTGTGTGGTGTGTGGGTTTGGTCGTGTGTGTGTGTGTGTGTGTGGGTGTGTCGTCGTGCTATCGTGGTGTTTGTGTGTTGTGGTTGGATGTGGGTGTGTAGTGGTGTTGTGTGTTGTGTGTGAGATTGTGCTGTGTGGTGTGTGTGAGGTGTGTGTGTGTGGTGTTGTGTGGTGTAGTGATAGGGTGTGTGGGAGTGTGATGTGGTGTGTGTGTGGTGTGTGTGTGGTGTGTGTGGTTTGTGTGTGTTGTGAGAGTTTGTGGTGT